ACGGCGGAGCCAAGGCTCCAGCCACCAAGCTGAGCTGCAAGATCCTCCCCTGCTTATTAGTGGTGTGACAGAGCCAGAGAAGCCTCCACCAGCCCATCAGCAGAGCACCCCGAGAGCGGGGCACCCCGAAGAGACAGCGGGAGACAAGCACACAGGGCTTCACTTGTTGGCCTGCGAGTCTCCAAACCGGTGCCACGTCCCTTTGCTCCAGCCTGGGGATGGCGGCAGGAATCCCCCCGCTCCCATCCCTTCCACGCGAGATGGGGACGTGTCGGGACGGGGACGGCCCAGCCCCACAGGCACCGTGCCGGGAGTCAGTAACTGCCGGGGACAGGCGAGCCTGGCCTGGATTGCATTACTGCTGGCGCTGTCACATCCACTAATCTCCTCCATCTGAGCCGATTCGCCTCCTCACCACGCGGAGCTGGTTCTTACCGGTTCTCAGCGCTTGCCTCAGTTCGGAGCCAGATGTCCTGTACAACATCTCGCTGTCTAACCCTGCGGAAGCGGAGACACTGCTGTTAGCTGCGAGCCGTGCAGCTCCCAGCGCACGCACCGTTTCGGTGCCAGCCTGGCAGACGTGTGCCGGCCGGGCAACGGCTGCGGCACAGCTAACCAGGTCTGGATGGGGTCCAAACCAACCTCCTGCAGATGCTCCTGCAGCCCCCTTGGCCCCCAGGACACCCAATTCAGTGGCCCCATTTCTCCCCCACGGCATAGATCCAGGCTGGAAGAGCTTCCCAAACCCCAGAACCCATCCGGGGCACGTAGGCGTCCTGCACGCAGACCCAGCACCCTCACCCCAGGCCCCTGCACAGGATGGTGCAGCGGCTCAAGCCAGGGAGGAGCGGGAGGGCCTTCCCTTCTGCAGGCAGCTGTGTCCTGCGTGTCCCACGGAGCTCAGTCCAACGCCAACAGTTTTTAAAGAGAGCTTCCTCCCCCCCTGCCCTCACCGGGGGATTTCAGGGGGTATCAGCCCCTCAGTGCTCAGCATCCCCCCCTTACCTTTCTTCTCAATAGCTTCCACCAGCTTCACCAGCAGCGGCGGTGCAATCTCAGGAGGGCTGAACTGCTCCTGCAAGTCCGGGAGAGGAGACCCTGGGGAAGAAGGAAGGAGAGAAGGGGTCAGCCCCAGCTCAGCCCCCAGCAGATGCTCTGCAGCAGAGCCAGGCCAGGGCACAACCAACGCTGCTCCCAACGGCAGCGTCCAAGAGCCAGGAAAGCCGTGGCCCCTGCTGCGATGCCGCAGCCCAGGCAAACACGGCACGGAGGCTGCGGGGAACCTGCGAGCTGGCCCAGAAACCAGCACGGCACTTGTTGAGCCCAGCCTTGCTCCGAGGCCCCAATGGGGTGGGCACAGGGGGATCCCTACTGCTCCCTGCAGAGGCCGGGAGGCAGAGCCTGTCTCCCTGGGGACCGTGGCATCCCGGGCCGGCAGCACAGGGGTTACCAGGGCTTCTGGAGCTCAGGCTGGATTCGGATCCTGCCCAACACAGGGGCTGCACAGGGCTGGCAGAGGAGCAAGGCCAGGGAGCTCGTTCGCGGTGGTGAGCTGTGATTAATCCAGCGATTCAGACAGAACGCCATGTCAGCAAATTCCTGCCCTTGATTGCTCGTTTAACATGGAAACCAGCCCTCTGCCTCCCCCTCCCCGGGAGCCCACAGCCTCCATGCAAGCTGTTACAGGGTGCAGAGAGCCCGCGGCACGGGAAGACCCTGGATCCTGGGGGATCTATGGCCCTGCGTCAGGTGGCATTTCACTGCTACTTCCCGAAGATCTGGAGGTCCCGGCTCCAAGCACCCCACGTCCCCTGTGCCGGAGGGGTGACGCATGCTGGGGCAGGATCACGCAGGCCTGTCTGGGCAGCTGCCAGCGGGAAGGTTGCCGAAGGATGAGCGGTGCCAGGCCCCATCTTGCTTCCAATTGAGCACCAGCTGGTGCAGGAGGCTCTGCTGGGATGGTCCACAGCACCAGGCAGACCCTGGGGAGCCCACGGTCGGTGAGGACACCCGGCATGCTCCGCTCTGGGGAAGCAGAGCCAAAATGCTGTTCCCCATTGCGAAACACGGCTCTGTTGTCATGGATCTGACCCGAACTCACCCAGTGTGGTCTCGCCGTGAAGGTGCAACGAGATGAAACTCTGCACCCGACTGAGCCTCCTGCACCCACGGCCTCGCAGGGAGACGAAGCAGCTCGTGTCGGTGCGGCCACGGAAAGGGGAGCAAACAGAGGAGGCACCCAGCAGCTCTGCAAGGGGCTGTGCTGCTGGGTGGGGGGCAATCCCCCATGAGGGCAAGGGAAGGGGCCCAGCGTGGTGCTGGTTGGGGTGGGGAAGCCACAGGCAAGCTGCCAGGCTGGCAGCTCCAAGCTTGACCCTTGGGAAGGGCTGAAGGGAGAGCAAAAACTGGTGGGGACCACGTGG